GGGCGCTCCTGTGGGAAGGTAGGGGTGAAAGGTCGCCGGTCCCCGGCAACACGGCTCAGGCAAACGTAAGCGGCTTGTCGCAGAAACCAAGGGGTCCACGAAACGCGCTAGCCTAGAAGGCGGGAAGGAGAGATTACTGACAGCCGTGCCAGCCAATAAAATGGAAATGTGAGCAAGGTTCTTCGAGCCCCTTCCCAATCAGGAAGCCTGGGTGATGAGGGGCTGCGAAGGGGCGGGGTGGGATCTTGGTCCAGCTGGTACTGGAGCGGCGATAATTTTGGCTGGTCTAAGAAGGGCATTCGAGTGACCGTTGACAACGGGTGGGACAGCGTCAGAGCTGGAGTGAGAGCCTGCACTGTATGCTTCCAGGACTTCTAGCTAGGTGCATTAGTTTTTATTTTTAAGAGTTGGGTGAAAGACATTAATTAGTTAGCATCTCACTCATCGGCGATTTTCTACGGGATGGTTTCATCCAAAGAAGATTTCATAATCGCACTGTGTGGCACCATTAGGGGACTTAGAGTGTCACTCGCCGCCATAAATCCTTTGGGGAACAAGCCAGGATATAAATAAATAAAGCTAGGTGTGGGTCTTCCCTTCAAAAGGCGCTGGTAGGCAGACTAAAGACAGGCAACAGCTGAGTGTGCACACAGAAATACGAGTGTCGGAATAAAATTCATTGCCATGTGCACAGCTTATGATTATACAGATCTTGGACATATCACGGACCTGAACGTCAACCCTACAACACCGAATAAAACATCTAGTGCAGCTGGAATAGACTCTGAAAGGACGTTAGGCATTATCTAAATCAAGTCCCTCATTTTACAGATGAGTAAACTGACTCGGTGAAGTATTTTGCTCAAGGTCATTCATCAAGTTAGTAGTCTAATTAACTCAGTGTTCTAGGAAGCAGGATGGTAGAAAAGCATGGGCTTCGGAGTCTGAAATCTTTCTTGGTTTCCCGTCCTTGTAGGCTGTTCTACAAGTCTATCTTGGGCAAATCCCTTAACGTGTTGCCATTTATTAAGTGCTTACCACGTGGCAAACAATCCACTTTGCATGCTGTGTCAATTACATGCAGTATGTCGCGTAGTTATTACTGTACCCATTTTATGAGGTAGTTTAGGTTTAAAGATATTAGAAATTTACCCAAAGTTACACAGCTCTAAACACTGTAGTAATTTCAAACTCAGGTCTTCCTGACTGCAAGGCTGCTCTCTTAAATGTTGCAATACATTAGAGCTCCGGATTCCCTCCCACTCAAAACAGGGACTGAGACTCCAACCAATTTCCACCATTCTTGGGAGTCAAACGAGAGAGACTGTGGCAATGTATTCTAAGCTGTAAAAAGGATAAACATATTCACTAGATTTGTAGAATGAAGATATTCGTTCCCTATACTATCCACTACAACAATTGAACCAGAAAGATGGCTTTCATACTAAGCTAGCATAAGAAGGAACTTCACTGTAATTATGATATTCTAACAAAGAATATATGCATATCTAAAGCAATAACCAAAGTGAATAGAATAAAATTCAATTCCTGATAGATTAAATAGGCAATAGCAAGGAATACTAACGCTCCTCATAGCGTCCTTATTGGAAGAATCATCTAGGAGGCACTGGGATTTCTGGTGCTTTTTATGCAATGAGAGGTATCAGTCCACTGAATGAGAAAGAGAATAGCGTTTAGTTTGGAACTAAAAGTTCATCTGGACTACGGAAAAAACGTTTGCCTCTATCAGTGAAGAAGGTATGCTGAGAGCTGAAAGAAAAGGAAAGCAGGTAAGTTAGTGCATATTGGAAAAGGTCTATTAACCAAAGTCCAAAATTTTCATCGGATGTGTAATGTAATAGGAAACCACCATATAGCCTTTATGACCAAAATAAAGAGGAATTAAACATACAATTGGGTACAAATGGAACTGTGATGAGGAAAAAGGGTTTGGGATGAGTATGTGGCATTCAAGATAGTAAAAGGCTGATGCCAGACGTTGTACAAAGTGTTCAGTGTATAAAATTATGTAAGGACATTTTTAAATGAAAAATTACAAAAGGGCTGATATTTAGCACTAG